TTACACAAGATTTACAGTTTCAGTGCTGTTTCAGACAGAATTGGAGGAAGTATAGCATGTCACTCTGCAGGACACTGCTTTCACTGCTTGATATCATGTCAGCTATCTCTGTACACACAAGAAAATCAGTTGCACCGTTGCAATTAACAATGCATGTCAAGCAAACACGAGCACACACACACACAGAAAGGCTGAGCTTTCCATCAGCAGCACACACGGCGCTCATGCGTGCATGGAGTCAGAGAAAACACAACACACATCCGCACCGCGAGTACTGGACAGCGCCGTGGTGCTGAAAACACCGCGCCACGGCAACCGCAATCGCGCAAATGCATGCGTCGCGTTGATGTTTAACGTCTGACCTATCCGACACAGCACGCATTAAAACGTGTAGTAATATCTGATGGGATTTTTAGCGAAGATGGCGCCCACAGCTAACCCAACCCACCAGAGCCGCACAGAATGAGCACAAGCGAGGCGAAATACTACATCCGCACGCGGCACGAGCGACGCAAAGCCGCCAGGCGCGTGACATTGACCCCTCTGACGGTTAACCCGAGCGTTTTGTCCGAGCTCGTGTCAACAACAGCCTAATATTGACAGTCTACGTAAGCAGACGTATTACATTTCAGGAGACAGTCGTGCTGAACATGACTGGGAGCCCGCAAAGAGCCCTCCTCGGCCCCTATTAAGGGTACTGAACACAACCAGCTGGCTTACTTCAGCATGGACTGCTCTTTCTCCTCCTCTTTCTTCTGTCGCTCCATGACCGAGAGGATGATCTTCCTCTCCTCCTCGGTGAGGTGGCTCAGGTCCGGCGGAGCGGGAGCCGCAGGGGACGCGGCCGGGGCCCCCCGAGCTGACATTCTCAGGTGTAGATGCTGCTGAAAGAGCGATAAATTAACATTAAGTACATCTGCAGAGACCCCATGCAGCCTACACATGTGCTCTTGCTATATAATGTTTGTGTTTATGGGATGCATAACTGTATTGATCTCATCTAAATGGCACTGTGATGCTGAAGAGAGCAGACAACTGATGGTTTTATAATAACACATTAGCGCATCTCTAACACCTTCACACCCTGCCGGTGTATGTGCATGGAAGATTCAGTGGTACATTATTGGCTATAATCAATATAACCCAGTGACAGCATGGGAAACGCGTGTGCAAATGTAGTTTGTCACGCTGGCTCATAAAAACAAGCATCTTCCGAGAATAAGGTGTGAGAAAGCCCTCTGGCTTCTCGCGTTTCCGGGAGCCGAGGGCATCCCAAGCATGCCCGTCGAGTGTGTGTGGCGATGAAACGGGCGCTTGCCTTTTATTTGGAAATCATGGTGAGTGCAGTCTATCCCATGGCTGCTGCCGCTTACGGAGAGCTCTCGCGCATCGTCCAATGGTAGGGCGCGCGATCCCTTATTGCGGTAATCGCTTCCTCGCGATTCCCTCCTGGTTGCCGCCGCTGCTGCTGCTAAGATTTCTTCAATGCACAAAAAATGGATGCGGTAGGGGAAACGGTCCGATAGGAGAGCGAGGCGGAGCGACGGTCTTACGTAGGACAAAGATCAGATGGTCCGGGTGCGCTACTGCGCGGGCGGGGGCGGCGGAAGTGCCATTCATTGACATGAACTGGAGCTGCGATGAACGCTATGGTGACAATCCAGCAACCAGATTTTTTTTTTCTGGCTTATAATTTTTTTAAATGGTTTATGTCACAGACTGTTGTGCATTAAATCTCTGTCTATTAGTTTAAATTCTTTTTTTTCCCCTCCTCAGACCTCTTTAAGAAGTATGTTACCTAACTTAATGCCATTGCCATCAAATCATCCACGTTAGGAAGAGCATTATGAAACTAAAAGGCATAACCCAAAACTAAGTATTAATTGAGTGGCAGATTATAAATTAAATGTTTAAGTAATATATTTTAGCTTTCGTTCAATTTGGACATCATTGCACGTTAGGTAGGCCTACATCAATCAAATTTACACTAGGGTTCAGAAGTTTGGGGTCAGTAAGTGTTTTTTGATTCAGCAAGAACTAATTACATTTCTCAAAAGTAACAGTGAATGCGTTTAAAATGATAAAAGATTTCAAATTCAAATAAATGCATTTTTTTTTATTGAAGAATCCTGAAAAAAAAAAAAAGTATCACGAAGCAGCACAACTGTTTTCGGCATTGATTGATTGATTGATTATTAGAAAATCAGCATATTATACTGATTTCTGAAGGATCATGCAACACTGAAGACATGGAGTTATGAAAATTCAGCTTTGATCACAGCAATAAATTACATTTGAAAATATATTCACATAGAAAATAGCTATTTTAAATTGTAATAATAATTCACTATGCTCACTGAACAAAGAAAACAAGGAATAATGCAATCATATTATGCAATGCAAGTTTAATGATTTCATGATGATGAATACTGTGTTAGTGACTTGTCTGTGTCGTTCATTTCTTTACCACCAGATACAATCATCAATAATCACTGACAATCGTTTCTAATACCATATAACATGTATTTTTATTGTGGGCAAACTGCCTTTCAATTTATACAATTTTATGTAATACTAGACTTAAATGTCTGTCATCTTTGGAGCAGGTGTGATGTTATGTATGAAACATCTACATCCTCGTATGTGTATATAATATATAATATACCTGGCAATAAAGCTCATTCTGATTCTGATTCTGAAATGTTTGAATAGTTTTATACATCTACAGCATTACCTAAACAGTTTAGAATAAAGACATCAAAATGATGAAAATGGAAATCAAATTTGAGCGTTCACCTTTTGTCTAGATCACAGCATCTACTCACTCAGCACCTTCTTTCATCCAGCTTCATGAGCTGCGTACTGGGTGAAGGAGTTCATAGGTATCCATTAAGAAAAGAAAATACCATTTAGGTTTTGAATTTAAATTCATAGGAAGGCACATTTTGTGATGTACTACTGCTGCTGCTGCTGCTACAACACAGATCATAAACCTTTAGGTCGAAATGGCAAATATAAATTCTGTGAAATGTGTCCAAAGCTGGTGTATTTTTTTTCCCCCTGTAGATTGCAGGTTTTGCAAGTCGTGTGAGGGGGGAAATATTCATGCATTCATTCATTTTTGAGTACCTTAAATATATACTCAGTGTTGGGGAGTAACTAGTTACATGTAACGGAATTATGTAATTTCATTACAAAATAAATGTAACTGTAATCTGTTACAGTTACTGAGAAAAAGTGTGTAATTTAATTATAGTTACTTATGAAAATGTTAATGATTACAAAGGGAGTTACATCTGAATATCTTCACACACTTACAGTTTTGATTGATTTCTTTATCAAAGTGCATGCTCTAAAATATGAGGCACCAATGTTTCAGGAGTTTAGGACACAGAATAGGACACGTGCTTATTTGATAACTGGGTTTCACTTTATTTTGATGGTATAACTCTCATTAAAGTATTAGTAGACTGGTAGGGTTAGGGTTAGAATAAGTTGACATATAGAATAGTAAAAAAGTTCAAAATAATATGTATAGCACATTTACTATAAATATATAAATAGTAGGTTACAGTAAATATAGTGTAATAATCAGTGTTGGGGTAACGCATTACAAGTAACGCGAGTTACGTAATCAGATTACTTTTTTTCAAGTAACTAGTAAACTTTTGTTCTAGAATAAATGTGAACATGCATTAATTAATCTCACTCACTCACTCACTCACAAAAATCTGATTTAGTTTTCCTCAAAATGAATAAAAACAGTTATACGCAACTCAGAATATGACTCAAAGCTGCAATAATTAAATATGTTAAATAATACAAATATCCTTTATGTATTT